CCGGTCGGTCCATCTCTGACACCTTTGGGCATGTTTGCTTATCACAAAATCCTTTACGCTTTGGTTTCCGCAGCATGCAACGGGATTTTCCTTCAGCGAAATTTTGGAGTTCCTACTGCAGCAAGGGGTGCAAATAGACGTGGACAATGGCATGGAAACTACACGTGTGCGAAGGTTGGTGTGCAAAACTCTTAAAGACAAATGGGTTCAGCAACAGCTTAAATGGTGCAATGGTGGTTATGTTCTCAGTCTTGTTTCCGGTGCCAAAGCAGACAAGAGTGAGTGTGGGAATCCAAGCTGAGATGATGAGTGGTGGAGGCCATCCGGTCGCAGAAGGATGCGTTAACAACAATGGTTGTCACACTCACTGGAAGATGCAACCACCATGCATCTTGCCACACACCACCAGACACAGCAAATCCGAACATTGCATCCTTGTGCCGAGTGCCGCAAACTGCTTTGAGTGAATGTTTGCTTGAGTAGCATCTTGAATGGTGGCAACTCCACGGCACTGCTTGATCGCGGTCAGGGGCTTGATAATCACCGGATGAACGGGATCGGAAGAAAGAACGGCAGGCAGGAAATCGATCACTCTGCGCCTGGTACGCAGACCCCCCAGACCATTCCTTTTAATTTAGTTGTTTAGTGCGCAAGCTGATACCTTGAGGGCGGAGGCAGAGAGTTGGCCCAGCGCAATGAAGCTATGGCGCAGCAGCACACCCTCGTTTGCGCAGCTTTGCAGTGCGAAAAGCCGACAGGAGATTTTGGAAAAGTGTCTCTCAGCTTCGACTTTGGATGATTGCATGCATAAATGTTCCACTGTGCGTTCAGAGCTCTGGCTTTGCTCTTTTTGAGCTTTTGCGTGCTGTAGCAGCAGATCTGTGTTCCTTGCACACAGCTCCTCCGCCCTGGAGGGTTTCGAGAACTTGAGGTTTTGGACAGATCCTCCCTCAGTGTCTTTTGCCCTCAAGTTTGATTTGGCCAACCGAGTGGATTGCAGCCTGGAACGTCTTTGGCATTTTTGCACAGACATTCGTCTGTGGCCTCCGTGTGCTTCTTTGAAGTGGCAGCACCCATGACACAATGGGTTCACACTGGCACGTCTTCGCTCACCTTTGAAATTGGGCTGATAGGAAGCGAGCTTTGACTTTGCTAGTGATAGAGTTTATCGAGAGTTCTCAGCTTTGGCATCTTTTGCTCAGATTTGCTTGGAGCTTCAAACTCAGAGCTGCAAAGTCAAAAGAGAGTCTGTCCTCGCTGTGCATTAGCTTTGGCTTTAGCATAGGCTTGCTTTAGCGTAGGCTTCACCTTAGTACAAGGGCTATGGTAGTGTGGCTTGAACTAAACTGTGAACGGGTTATGTGTTTACTCATGGTTGTTTACTGTTTTGAGAAAGTCATCATGCTTTGATGCTTATGGTTCAAGCCACACACCATACAAGAGCAGCATCAGTGCAGTGCTTTGCTAGCTTTCATTTTTTCCCACCCACCACTCCCTGTCTCGGAGGCAGAGTCCTTTGATTTCAGGGATAGAGCTTCTTTGGCCACTTGGACAGTGCAGGTGTGCCTTGTTTCACCGGATGCCATCATATACCAGACCAGCATTTGTTCGCTTTGTTATCTCACTGGGCCGTGTACATTTGGGCTGGCTTTGTGCTTGGTGGTATCGAGAGTTCTCAGCTTTGGCATCTTTTGCTCAGATTTGCTTGGAGCTTCAAACTCAGAGCTGCATTTCCGGCAAAGTGAAAAGAGAGTCTGTCCTCGCTGTGCATTAGCTTTGGCTTTAGCATGGTAGTGTGGCTTGAACTAAACTGTGAACACCAGTTACTTCGCCTGTGATTGATGCTGAGATGATTGCCCAGATCGCTGAGAAGGTGAAAGCGAGTCTGAGTGTGGGAGATTTGGAGAAGTTGCTGCTGGATGAGAAGAAGAAAGCTGCTGAGCCGAGCGAATCTTCGCAAGATCGCAAAAAGGGTGAAGATCTGGATTGATTGAGGTGCTTGAAGACCTCGTAGGGTTGTGAGAAGCCCTGCAGCCATTTTAGGGTCGCCATGGCTTCCTGCACCGCCGTGGCCCGCCCGCGTTTTTCCTGATTTTGAGTCAGCGCATGAGAGTTTTCTTTCGCTGTGTGTGGGAACACGCGCTACGCTTTACACTTTGCAAGCGAGTTTTTGTCTGGTGGCAGCCGTTTTTTCGTTGGAGCTCTGCCAGCAGTTGCTCGCTGGTGAGCTTAGTTTCCGGGAAGCGAGGTTAAGGAGTATGACCACGTCAAGGTTGAGTGCTGAGTGTGGCCTGATGCTTTGGAGCCTTGCATTAATTCGTTTGTCACGAGTTTTTCACCACGAACTTTTGGGGACCAAGACAATACCGGACCCAGGACAACTTGTCTTATGATAGGATTTGGCATGAGTTGAAGTTTGATGTCAGGGAGCTGACTTTGCGTTTGTGTTTCGTTTTGGTGGAGAGTACGCACCAAGGGAATGTGGCCAGGGCATCCCCTTACTGTTGGTTGAAGTGCCAAGCTGTGCTTGGACTTCGGATCTTTGGCATGAGCCCTCAGCAGAATGCGGGGGCTGGAAGATCGTAGCTGATACATGAGTGTTTATCATGTTTTAGATCAGCTTGTATAGTTGTTTTGCTTCGGAGTGACTGGGAATAGAAATACTTTCATGCTCTGTGGTTGTGGATGTTTGTGGAACTCCCGTGAAGGGATTCCATCTGGATATCGTCTAGATGATTTCCATAGGAAATCATGCTATGACGTTTTTGCCCAATACGTTACGTTGAGTGAGTGTGCACTGAGTAGGAACTTTGTTCTGAAGCACTTTTAAAACGTTTGTAGTTTTGCGCACTTCCCAGAGACTCCAAAAGTCTTTAAATCATGGTTAAGGGATTATGCGTTAATTTAATTTAAGCGCTATTTGCTTAATTAAAGGGTTTTATCACACCTGTTAATTAAGGGCTTTTCTTTCCCAACATGTTTCATAAAGACACTGTCTGGCATGCAAGTGAATGATCGAGATCGATGGAGCAGATCCGAGGAGATGTGTGTGTGTGTACATATCTCTCGAAAAGAACAATTGGTCTACATGCCGTCCTGTTCTGCCTGCACAATTTTAAAGGCTCGAGGTCAGCTGCATCTTGGCAGATTGATTTGTGTTGAGGTTGGTGGATCCCTCCTGAGTGAAAAGACATGGTAGCAAACATCAGCTCGCGGTGGAAAGTCATATCCCTTGCAAGACTTGCATGGTGAGGTCCCCTATATAGGAGGACTCTCCTGTCGAGGAGTGCCTCCTTGGAAAAAAATCTGCTCATGTGTATCTCCAAATTGATCTTCTTGCTTGAGAGTTTAGTCGAGTGGGAAAGGTGCTGGAGCAAGCAGGAAACCCTGAAGAGTTCTGTGCAGCCCTGCTGGGAGGAAGACCTCCTGTGTATACATGCATATGTTGACAGCCAGAGATGTCCTTGCTTGCACATAGCTCTGACTGCATGCATGCTTACCTCTGCCTGCAGACTTGTCGGCTCGAGCTTGTGTATACAGCCTAGGATTTTTTTTGTGAGAGCATGGCTGGGAAGGAGCGAGCCAAAAACACAGCTTCGCCGAAAGAAGTTGCGAAGCTGATGCGAGGTGCGAACTAGACCAAACTGCCTCCGGAGTCGGAGTACATGATAGCAGACACGAGCAAGGTCATCGAGACGTTCGAAGACTTCCTGAAAGACCTTCTCCTGGCCACCCCTCGTCCGACAGAGAAGCTTCTACTTCAAGCTTGCAAGCTAGTTTTCGAGCACACATCCAAGTCCGACTGCAAAAGCTTCGCCCAGCAGTTGGTGCGATGTGTTCAGCATGTCCGAGAATGCAAAAGTGTGACTTCGGGGAAGAAGACACCGGAAGCAGTTTGGCGGGTCCTGCAAGTGATGAAGGCGAACAAGGACCAACCATGCAGACGGCTTTCTACAACCTCGGTGAGCTCAGCAGCCAGCCCTTCAGCTGTGGATTCGAAGCCGAGTCCCGAGCCCATGGTCGAGAAAGTGAGCCTTGCCAGTAAGGCCGAACTGAGCCCTGGCAGCAAGGTACGACATGCCTACGGTCTCGCAGCCAGTCGCACAATGCAGAAAGAGGAGGATGGAGAGGACTTGCTGGAGGTCGTGGCTGTGCAGTCCTCGCAGAGCTTGCACTCCATCGCGAGCTCGGGCGAGGAGGTGTCTCCTGAAAAGGAAGGCGAAATGGAGGACGTGCCTCCTGCAGCTGACTTCAAGGACTACTTTGATGCTGGTCGTGGCTGCCATGTGAGGGCCTTTGCCTCAGGCAAGCTCGAGGAGCTGACTGCTCCGGTAAGTCGGGTGACCGGCAAGAAAGTCCTGAAGGCTGCCCTGAAGACCAAGCCTGCTGCCGGGCAGGTGAAGAAGAAGCCGGCAGGTGCAGAGACAGCAGAAGTGCCCAAGTCCTCAGAGGTGGATGTCCAAGCTGCACAGTTGGCGGAGGCGAAGCAGCAGGAGGAAACCATCTTGCATTTCGTCCGGAAGAGCACTGCCAAGAAGCCCCCGAGGACATATGTGACTGCTTGCTACTGTGACGGGTCCAAGCATAGGCAGAAACTCATCGTAGAATTTCAAGCAGCCAAGTATGCCGATCATGTCGAGAAAGCTGCGAAAGCAGTGAAGCGAATCCAAAAGGATAAGCTCACTTTCAATCGTGCCCGGCAGCTGAAATTCGCATTGGCAGAGGACTGATCGATTTTGACTCGATCTTGTCTCGCCTGGAATAGGGCAGTTTTGGCATCAGGTGCTCGCACAAATCGTCGGCCTTGCATGTTTGGTGTGCAGGAGGGGTTCTCCTAGCTCTTTAGGAGGACCTCTCCTACCTTGAGCTTGAATGGCAGGGCAGGTCAGCTGCATGCATGCTTCCTGTTGCAAATACCTATGCTCCATGCAGGAAGGTTTGGGCTCAAAAATTAGAAGGTCAGACTTGTCCCTGGAACCTATATAGCTTGGCTCCCCGGCATGGATCTGGGGGCGATGACGGATGCCCAAGTTCGCGAGTGGCTTCGAAGCTTGCCGAACTACCAGGTGCTTCGTTTGCACGAGCTGGTCATGGAACAGATGCCTCGTCCTGCTGCACCAGCTCCAAAAGGACCATGCTCGCACTGCCAATCGAGGCTGTGTACTCGGAGGACTGCATGCGAAGATCATGTCGGCAGATGCTCCTGCCACGTGTGCTACAAGGACTGGAAGCACAGCCGTCCCAAAGGTGGCAAGGGTGGGCATGGAGCCTCAGGCTCAAGTTTCCCACTTCCTGCTGCAGGCCATTAAGAGCCTGCACGTTTCGCGAGTGGCTTCGAAGCTTAAAAGAAGAACACACACCCTCTGATTTGCCGATGAAATACTTTTAGGTAGATACGAAATTTCAGATTTGTTTTCCGTTTGCTTAACATGTTTTCATTTAAGAGGTTCTGTGGCAGATCTGCTTGCTGGAGTGACTCATGCATGAGAGTGTGCAGTGCATGCAGAGTAGGAGGAGATGCTGTGAGGTGCAGTGCAGGTGAGACTTGTTGTTTGAGCTTCGTTGCCTGCCAGCCAGCTTCTCGGCCCAAGCTAAAGCCTTCAGTGCAGCCCCAGACCTCTGTCTGCCACAAGCAGGGATGTCTTGGCATCATCAGTCAGGTTCTGGTTCTGGTGTCGCTTGGCTGCATTAGTTTTGGCTGCATTTTGTGTGCTCAGATTGTTGCCCAGGGTTCTCTGCAGTCCTGTCGCTGAGGGGTGGGGCTCCAGCTGGAAGGATCGTGGCCACGACAAGAAGGGTGAAGGCTCCCAGTGGTGGAAGAAGGACGACGACCCGTGGGACGAGGACCCCAATGACATGTCCGGCATCGATGTGAGAAAGTGCAAGAAATGCAAGCACAACTGGTCCTATGTGCGGGAGGGTGGCTGCCTAAACACAAAGTGCAACATGTCAGCATCCAGATTTTTCAGGAGGCTCTCCTTCACTCTAGGAGGGTCTCCTTCAAGTTGAGCCTTGCAGTTTTTAGGAGGTTCTCCTGTATAGGAGGGTCTCCTGTATAGGAGGGTCTCCTCGCTAAGGTGAGCTCTACATCTACTCGGCCAACCGAGAGAACCTCTGGGATCCCTACAGCAAGGGCAGTGGAGGCCGGTGGGACCTGAAGGAGTTTGCCAACTACATTGAGCCCACCTTGGCGAAGAAGAAGAAGAAGAACAGGGGCAAGCAGCGAAAGGTGTGGTGGGCCAAGGTCAAGGGGTGGAAGGATGCCGGTGAGCCGGAGTTTCAGCCACCGAGTGATGAAGAGGAAGAAGATCCAGGCCAAGAGGGCCAAGAGCAAGCCGAAGCGGTGCCTTTCCGGCAGAAAGACTTTCAGAGTTTCCTGTGTTGCTTGTGTTTTCTTTGTTCCCGCGTGAAGCCAACGAAAAGGAGGGCTCGAGATGCGAGCACACCGCGATGCAGCCCTGTAGTCGCCTAGTGGGTCAAAGCGACCGCGGCACGCTGTGCGATCGGCAGCGGCAAGTAGCGCTCGAGATGCGGCGTCAGCGAAAAAATGCAAATCAAGCGCGGGCTGCTCACTGGCGCGGGCAGCATGAGATAGCACAATGCTGCCAACCTTGCAGGAAGTCCCCAAACTTGGTTGCTTCATGCCTGCTGGCGTAGGCCAGCGGCCGTGTGGCGAGCTGCTGTGAGAGGTTTCGGTGGAGGATTGCAGCGCGCGGACCAAACGAGCGGCTTCAAGTGGGCAAGCAGTCCGCCCAGGAGACCCACAAAGCATCCCAACCCAACGAGGTCAGCTACCTAAATTCAGAGGAGTGCCAGTGAAGCAAGCGACTGGGGGCGCTCGCAAGGGCCCGACGATGCAAAGTTGGCTCCGTGACTGAGGTTTGGAAACGATATGCACAACAACGCTGTCAAGGGTGATGACCCCCTCGTACTTCCTCGATGCAGCTGGGTGAACTCCTGGCCAGTGTGCGTGACGTGCTGAGGCAAGGCCGCGGGCAGCTGAATCCCAGCGCCACCAGTCTTCCCCGAGCGCTTCTGTACCTGGATGCCGGCGTTTTTATGCGCGCATCGCCGAGCCAGGATGCTGCATCCACAACGTGCAACTTTCCCTCAGAGAAGTGCAACCTTGCCTGCGGGTCCTGCGACCGTGCGAAGAAATCGAATGGTGTCCATGGCATTGTCATCCGAAATGTTCATGAATTTTCACTGTCATTGGAGCTGCAACAGTAACGCCATCAAACACGCACTTCGACTTTGTCAAAGCGTTTGAATCGTGCTGTAAAAGCGTGCTAGCCTGCATGCTTTTATTCTGGCACAAAGCTGCTCCTGCAACCTCAGCCTAATGAATTTGCCGATGACTTGGAAGCTTTGCTTGAGGGCAACCCACCTGAGCCTAGCAGATCTTTGACCTTGGACGAAATGCCTTGGAGAATGGGCGAGCTTCCACGCGCCATTCATTGCTTGAACGTGGATAAAGCTCCTGATGACGTTGGTTTGGTTATTGAATTACTGAAGAAGGCTCCTGATGAAATCCTTTCGATGGTTTTGGATTCATTCAATAAATTTTTACTGCGAAGTAACGTGCCAGTTAAATGTTTTCACCACGTTGGCAAACGGCATGAGGACCACACGGGATTTTAAACCAATCACATATGTTCGACTGATGTACGAAGTCTTTGCCCGCACGATTCTTTTTCGCATCGAGGACACCTGGACGCATCGCAACTGCAGGAACAACACGGTTTCAGAGCGGGACGCCGTATTAAAGAACATCTCCTTGCGGCAAAAGTTTTGTTGGATAAACAACTGCAGCGAATCTGCCTCTTGGATTGCGAGCGTTGATTTTCCAAGGCATTTGACAGTGTTGAGTGGTCTGCACTTCGGACAACATGTTTTTGGGGCGATGGGGTTCAAAGATGGTTCAAGGGCTCTCTCACTCGTAAACTCAATAGTAATTCAAGAAGAAATGAACGGGAAAAAAAGGCCGTTGATGCACCAACCTGCACCGTCGCCAACTTGCACCCCATCGTCGCCCCAAAGCAAGGCTGGTTCAAAATCTGTGGGGGCGTCCGCCAAGGCTGTGTTTTGAGCCCTCGACTGTTCTTCGCTGTTCTTCCAGCCGTGTTCAGTGCTCGGAGGCAATCTGTCAAGTCTCTAGGTCTTGATTGTGGTGATGGCGTACCACCAGCACTGGACCTCAGACTTGCTGACGACCTGTTGCTGTTCGCGAAATCAGCGCAAAGTTGCTGCGCAGATGCTGGATGAGTTCCTCCGCGACAAAAACCCAGATAGTGACCACCGAAGCTGAAGCGAACCACAACCGGCAACACCGTCGGCATTTTACCGCCCAGTGACGCACAGACGTGGTTGAGCTGTTGCGTGTCTAGCCGTGGTTCAAAAGCAACATCTGCTGGATTCCTACGCAGACTGCGTCGGAAGCAGCCTTTGCAAACAAGGACGTGCTTGCGACTACCCCTGTGGCATGATTTGAAGCTGGCCACAGGGCTATCTTCCAAGCAGACTTCGCTATCATGATGTTGTTTGCACAAAATTTTACGGCGTGTTTTTGGTCCTCCTTCCGACGTCCACCGTAGCACACCAGCGGAACACGAAAGCGTTGCGTTGTTGGGAAGCCTTGCGACGTCCTACTGCATGTGGACAACGTTGTTCGCATTCCTCTTGGAATTTTGCGAGACTGCCTGATGCAAGATGGGTTAGACGTGCTTTGAAGTGGCAGCCGGTGGGGCGAGCCCTGGTAGAAGCTGTAGCATGTGGACGACTTGCCTGGAGAACCTTTGCTCGTCTCCAGCGCTGGGACAAGTGGGAAACAGCAACTACGAACAACAACATGGAATGCATCGCACGATGATGATCTGCAAGCTTGTGATGGGGCAGCAATCCGCACAAAAGATGCTTATAGACCGTTTCTCCTGTACCCTAAAGAGGGCACTTTCGGGCGATCAGGACTCGACTCCATGGCAAACAGCACGGCCGTCCCAGATACGGAGACCGTCGCTTGCGAGGTTGAAGTCGCGCTCACATGTTTCAACATGGACGTTTGTGTTGACGTGTAAATTCGTTGCCAGATCTTGCCTAGGCTCGAGAGTTCACTTGGCCTCTTGGCGGCTTAAAGTTCGCTTGTTTATCGCGAACACAAGCAAAACACAAACCATGCGCATGTCCAAGTGGAACGCCACGATTCTTTGCTACGAAGTGAGTAGGCTCGGAACCCGGGATTTTTGTGCATCCGGGCAGACGCACGAGCCATGGCCCGCTCGAGGGCATGGTGCAAATGCGCGTCGAAAGAGCATTTTCTTGCGGATGCGGCAGGCAAGCGGATTTGCGGGCTTGGTCTGGCAGGCGCAACTCAGCGCTGACCCCGCTCAAAAGAAAACGTTGTGGCTTGTTGCCTGCAGCTTTGCAAGCTCCAGCGTCGGCACGCCCACGAAATATCACCTGAGAAATCCATGGCCCTCGGCTGTGCAATGAATCTGGACGTACACGAAAATCGCATCCGTTCGCAAGGTGGCAAGTCGTCAACAGCCTCGCCACCAGCAACTTCCAGATCAACACAACGTCATCATCAGCAACGTTCTCGACGAGCTCTACCTACGGCAACGGCTGCCGCTATCACACTGACCCTCACATCCCTCACACCTCGTTGACGATCACAGTTACACAAAATTGGCAAGGTGGACAGCTCTTGATTCAGGCTGGACCAATCTGGCAAAGACATGGGTCTGAACGGTTTTTCGAACATCTGGCAAGAACATCCGGCAATAGGTTGTCTATGGTTGTTTTTTTTTGCAGAAGATGAAAGATCCTCGCAACGAATGGGCCGCCTTGAGATCCCCGGTATGGTGACATCCTGTGCACTGTTGGTGCTGCTCAATACGGACAGGGTGAAGCTCTGCCAAAGACACAGCCTCCTCACCAAACACCCTCAGGTTTGAAGTGTTCCGTACACAGTCTTAAGCTTTCAGAAGTAGTCATGCGAGTGTTATATACATATACATAGGAAACATAGCATTTGTAACCATAGCAGCATGAATGCGCTGGAGTTGTACGGCGGACGGAGGGTTGCCTGAAGGAGCTTTAGGGTGTGTTCCGGGAGACTTCCCGCAAGGCCCGACATGGCTTTTCTTTTTCCTTCGAGAAGCCAAATTTGCGTGAGAAACGTAATATACTCAAATCCTATCAGCATCATCGTCTTTTTGATTGCTACCCACATCGCTAAACATGGTGTTATCATTGTAATCATCATCAATGTTTGTCAACTCCATATTCCTATCCCAACTTTTGCTCTTTGTCTTCTTGCAACGATAACACCAAGTATAATTAATAATCATCGCAAGATTGTACAAGCATTTCTGATTTCGATTGTTCTTTTGCCTTTATTCTCGTGATGACAACGACTATCATCATGAGAAGAATCGTGAAATCTTCTGTTGCCCCGAACCGCTCAGACCCGTAAGCGCCTTGGGGTTTGTGACTAAAGCACTTGGCACCAAAAAAACAAGAGGCGCAAACGGACTCGAGCCAGGTGACAGGTGTGAACAATCGAGGACACGGTCGATACCGGAGCCCATTCCTGATTCTAATGATTGCCGCAGCCGTCTATGTCACCCAAGACCCTAATGAAGAAGGTGAGCATGGCCGAGGCTGGGAGAATCCCGGATTGAAGGTTTTTTTGCTATGGCTGTGCACGCTGGTCTGCACGCATTTGGCGCCGACTCTGCAAAAGAAGAGCTTCCGCAGCCTACGCGCTATCGTGGCATATTGGACGTGTGGTCCTAGCGTTCCTTCTGGAACGGCTTGATCGCAGACATCGTTCTCATAACGTTTGAGCACTTCAATCCAATAAGGAAACTGCATTCCCCTTCTACGTCCTGCTACCTGATACGATCCTTGTAAGCTGAAGTAAAGATCACAGAACGCGGTGGGAAGCTGGGTTCGGCGGCATACTGACACGGCGTGCAGGGGCTTACGCTCAGCCTGAATAAGAACTCTGGGGGGAAGGTGTGGTCGCACCAGACTGTGTTATTGGAACCAAGGAATAGAAGAAGGCCTCTTTGCCAAATGACTTTCCATAGAAATTTGGACGACATGGCGCTATTCTTTTTAGTTGCGGCGTGGAGCATCGGATCTCTACAGACCTTTCTCTGATGATGCCGTCCAATCCGGTTCAATTCTTGATGAGACCTCCGATGAATCAAGTGAAGAGTCTGCAAAAGGATGAGGCAAGTCAATGGTGGCTGATCGACTCGGGAGCGTCGGTGACTGTGATTACGAAAAGATACTATATAGAGGAGTTCCATATCTTGGAACAGGCTACAAACATAGCGGGAGAGTGCTTCGCGCCCCGAAAACCAAGTGCTGCTGAGTACCTCTCATGAGGTCCCAAAAATGTGCCACAGAACCAAAACCTCTGGTTCTAGAAGCCGCCAGCGTCAAGCGTCAAACGATTCACAAATACATAGAAGCCGCAAGGGTCAAACCATGGATCCCCGATTCCGTGCGGCGCAATCTGGACAGGCTAACCCACGGGCTTTATTATGCGCGCTCAGATCAAGTCGAGGATGGGCGATCCTGGCCTCTCGGCGGCCCTTTCTTGCGAAGCCTGTGCCTCGGCTCAAAATCCAACTTTGCGGGAAACGTTCCTACAAGTCAGAGAACCAGGCCTCTACGCAAGGTCTCCCTCGGCTTCTGAGGTTTCGTAGCGCACAACCATCTCGAAATTACACCTGCTCGCGCAGGCATAACGTGCGACCCGGCATAAGCACTGGACCACAGTCCACTTGAGCGTTTTGGCCTGTAACACTCCAGACCAAGTGACTTGAAGTCCAACCCGGGCGCTGCTTCCGCCCACATGTCCACGTCTTTGGAGCCAAGTCAGTATGCTTGCCATCGGAATTTGCAGCATCCAAGTCTTCATGCCATGAACTGGTAGACCTCGCATTCCGCTGCTATCTTGCAGGCCTGCCCATGCCGCCCAGTAAAGCATTCGCCTCAAAGTTCTTCTAGCACCTTTGCCTTAAATGACAAAGCCATCCGGCCCACAATAGCCTTCCTTGGTCCACCACCTTCCTTTTTTCTGCCAGGTGCATCTGAACATCTTTGGCCTGGCGAACAGTGAATGTCTTGTTGTCGAGCATAAACTGGGCGGATGCCATACCGCGGGCAGTGTGGGCAGCCAGAACGTCGAAGTCAAGGGTGTGAATCAGGATTTGTCCGCGCAAATCGCGGACCAGCTGATAGCTTCTTGAAGCAACACGGCAGGCGGATCTTGGACAGGCGATTTGGGCAGCTGCGGCGGATCTGCATTGGCTTGGGCTGTTCTGCGCATCTACATATCAGTTTGGCTAAAGAGATGCGGCAAGTTAGAAAAAAGATACAGGAAGACAGCCAAAGATCGGGGCCCACAACTCGCTCACCCAAAGGCACTGCACATCTCGGAGCTTTGTTGGATGTCAATATTCCTGCTGAGCTTTCATTGCATGATGAGTTTGATCGCACTGTTCGTAACTTTGGAATGAAACTTCATTTGCGCCAGCTTGATGAGTGGATGAACAAACATGGCTTTGACACTTAGCCAGCCTACACTTTAGACAAAGGTACCAGCGCCAGCAGGTGACGAGAGTATGTGACTTGCAGATTCCAAGCCACTGGCAACTGCTTCCAGTCAATCGTCTTGGTCGACACTTTCCTGGCAAAGCTCTCTTTTGCAGCTTCGTCAATCCTTTTTGCAAAGTAATTCTCGACGATGCTTCCGCCGGTCGGTCCATCTCTGACACCTTTGGGCATGTTTGCTTATCACAAAATCCTTTACGCTTTGGTTTCCGCAGCATGCAACGGGATTTTCCTTCAGCGAAATTTTGGAGTTCCTACTGCAGCAAGGGGTGCAAATAGACGTGGACAATGGCATGGAAACTACACGTGTGCGAAGGTTGGTGTGCAAAACTCTTAAAGACAAATGGGTTCAGCAACAGCTTAAATGGTGCAATGGTGGTTATGTTCTCAGTCTTGTTTCCGGTGCCAAAGCAGACAAGAGTGAGTGTGGGAATCCAAGCTGAGATGATGAGTGGTGGAGGCCATCCGGTCGCAGAAGGATGCGTTAACAACAATGGTTGTCACACTCACTGGAAGATGCAACCACCATGCATCTTGCCACACACCACCAGACACAGCAAATCCGAACATTGCATCCTTGTGCCGAGTGCCGCAAACTGCTTTGAGTGAATGTTTGCTTGAGTAGCATCTTGAATGGTGGCAACTCCACGGCACTGCTTGATCGCGGTCAGGGGCTTGATAATCACCGGATGAACGGGATCGGAAGAAAGAACGGCAGGCAGGAAATCGATCACTCTGCGCCTGGTACGCAGACCCCCCAGACCATTCCTTTTAATTTAGTTGTTTAGTGCGCAAGCTGATACCTTGAGGGCGGAGGCAGAGAGTTGGCCCAGCGCAATGAAGCTATGGCGCAGCAGCACACCCTCGTTTGCGCAGCTTTGCAGTGCGAAAAGCCGACAGGAGATTTTGGAAAAGTGTCTCTCAGCTTCGACTTTGGATGATTGCATGCATAAATGTTCCACTGTGCGTTCAGAGCTCTGGCTTTGCTCTTTTTGAGCTTTTGCGTGCTGTAGCAGCAGATCTGTGTTCCTTGCACACAGCTCCTCCGCCCTGGAGGGTTTCGAGAACTTGAGGTTTTGGACAGATCCTCCCTCAGTGTCTTTTGCCCTCAAGTTTGATTTGGCCAACCGAGTGGATTGCAGCCTGGAACGTCTTTGGCATTTTTGCACAGACATTCGTCTGTGGCCTCCGTGTGCTTCTTTGAAGTGGCAGCACCCATGACACAATGGGTTCACACTGGCACGTCTTCGCTCACCTTTGAAATTGGGCTGATAGGAAGCGAGCTTTGACTTTGCTAGTGATAGAGTTTATCGAGAGTTCTCAGCTTTGGCATCTTTTGCTCAGATTTGCTTGGAGCTTCAAACTCAGAGCTGCAAAGTCAAAAGAGAGTCTGTCCTCGCTGTGCATTAGCTTTGGCTTTAGCATAGGCTTGCTTTAGCGTAGGCTTCACCTTAGTACAAGGGCTATGGTAGTGTGGCTTGAACTAAACTGTGAACGGGTTATGTGTTTACTCATGGTTGTTTACTGTTTTGAGAAAGTCATCATGCTTTGATGCTTATGGTTCAAGCCACACACCATACAAGAGCAGCATCAGTGCAGTGCTTTGCTAGCTTTCATTTTTTCCCACCCACCACTCCCTGTCTCGGAGGCAGAGTCCTTTGATTTCAGGGATAGAGCTTCTTTGGCCACTTGGACAGTGCAGGTGTGCCTTGTTTCACCGGATGCCATCATATACCAGACCAGCATTTGTTCGCTTTGTTATCTCACTGGGCCGTGTACATTTGGGCTGGCTTTGTGCTTGGTGGTATCGAGAGTTCTCAGCTTTGGCATCTTTTGCTCAGATTTGCTTGGAGCTTCAAACTCAGAGCTGCATTTCCGGCAAAGTGAAAAGAGAGTCTGTCCTCGCTGTGCATTAGCTTTGGCTTTAGCATAGGTTGTACACCTTAGTACAAGGGCTATGGTAGTGTGGCTTGAACTAAACTGTGAACACCAGTTACTTCGCCTGTGATTGATGCTGAGATGATTGCCCAGATCGCTGAGAAGGTGAAAGCGAGTCTGAGTGTGGGAGATTTGGAGAAGTTGCTGCTGGATGAGAAGAAGAAAGCTGCTGAGCCGAGCGAATCTTCGCAAGATCGCAAAAAGGGTGAAGATCTGGATTGATTGAGGTGCTTGAAGACCTCGTAGGGTTGTGAGAAGCCCTGCAGCCATTTTAGGGTCGCCATGGCTTCCTGCACCGCCGTGGCCCGCCCGCGTTTTTCCTGATTTTGAGTCAGCGCATGAGAGTTTTCTTTCGCTGTGTGTGGGAACACGCGCTACGCTTTACACTTTGCAAGCGAGTTTTTGTCTGGTGGCAGCCGTTTTTTCGTTGGAGCTCTGCCAGCAGTTGCTCGCTGGTGAGCTTAGTTTCCGGGAAGCGAGGTTAAGGAGTATGACCACGTCAAGGTTGAGTGCTGAGTGTGGCCTGATGCTTTGGAGCCTTGCATTAATTCGTTTGTCACGAGTTTTTCACCACGAACTTTTGGGGACCAAGACAATACCGGACCCAGGACAACTTGTCTTATGATAGGATTTGGCATGAGTTGAAGTTTGATGTCAGGGAGCTGACTTTGCGTTTGTGTTTCGTTTTGGTGGAGAGTACGCACCAAGGGAATGTGGCCAGGGCATCCCCTTACTGTTGGTTGAAGTGCCAAGCTGTGCTTGGACTTCGGATCTTTGGCATGAGCCCTCAGCAGAATGCGGGGGCTGGAAGATCGTAGCTGATACATGAGTGTTTATCATGTTTTAGATCAGCTTGTATAGTTGTTTTGCTTCGGAGTGACTGGGAATAGAAATACTTTCATGCTCTGTGGTTGTGGATGTTTGTGGAACTCCCGTGAAGGGATTCCATCTGGATATCGTCTAGATGATTTCCATAGGAAATCATGCTATGACGTTTTTGCCCAATACGTTACGTTGAGTGAGTGTGCACTGAGTAGGAACTTTGTTCTGAAGCACTTTTAAAACGTTTGTAGTTTTGCGCACTTCCCAGAGACTCCAAAAGTCTTTAAATCATGGTTAAGGGATTATGCGTTAATTTAATTTAAGCGCTATTTGCTTAATTAAAGGGTTTTATCACACCTGTTAATTAAGGGCTTTTCTTTCCCAACATGTTTCATAAAGACACTGTCTGGCATGCAAGTGAATGATCGAGATCGATGGAGCAGATCCGAGGAGATGTGTGTGTGTGTACATATCTCTCGAAAAGAACAATTGGTCTACATGCCGTCCTGTTCTGCCTGCACAATTTTAAAGGCTCGAGGTCAGCTGCATCTTGGCAGATTGATTTGTGTTGAGGTTGGTGGATCCCTCCTGAGTGAAAAGACATGGTAGCAAACATCAGCTCGCGGTGGAAAGTCATATCCCTTGCAAGACTTGCATGGTGAGGTCCCCTATATAGGAGGACTCTCCTGTCGAGGAGTGCCTCCTTGGAAAAAAATCTGCTCATGTGTATCTCCAAATTGATCTTCTTGCTTGAGAGTTTAGTCGAGTGGGAAAGGTGCTGGAGCAAGCAGGAAACCCTGAAGAGTTCTGTGCAGCCCTGCTGGGAGGAAGACCTCCTGTGTATACATGCATATGTTGACAGCCAGAGATGTCCTTGCTTGCACATAGCTCTGACTGCATGCATGCTTACCTCTGCCTGCAGACTTGTCGGCTCGAGCTTGTGTATACAGCCTAGGATTTTTTTTTGTGAGAGCATGGCTGGGAAGGAGCGAGCCAAAAACACAGCTTCGCCGAAAGAAGTTGCGAAGCTGATGCGAGGTGCGAACTTGACCAAACTGCCTCCGGAGTCGGAGTACATGATAGCAGACACGAGCAAGGTCATCGAGACGTTCGAAGACTTCCTGAAAGACCTTCTCCTGGCCACCCCTCGTCCGACAGAGAAGCTTCTACTTCAAGCTTGCAAGCTAGTTTTCGAGCACACATCCAAGTCCGACTGCAAAAGCTTCGCCCAGCAGTTGGTGCGATGTGTTCAGCATGTCCGAGAATGCAAAAGTGTGACTTCGGGGAAGAAGACACCGGAAGCAGTTTGGCGGGTCCTGCAAGTGATGAAGGCGAACAAGGACCAACCATGCAGACGGCTTTCTACAACCTCGGTGAGCTCAGCAGCCAGCCCTTCAGCTGTGGATTCGAAGCCGAGTCCCGAGCCCATGGTCGAGAAAGTGAGCCTTGCCAGTAAGGCCGAACTGAGCCCTGGCAGCAAGGTACGACATGCCTACGGTCTCGCGGCCAGTCGCACAATGCAGAAAGAGGAGGATGGAGAGGACTTGCTGGAGGTCGTGGCTGTGCAGTCCTCGCAGAGCTTGCACTCCATCGCGAGCTCGGGCGAGGAGGTGTCTCCTGAAAAGGAAGGCGAAATGGAGGACGTGCCTCCTGCAGCTGACTTCAAGGACTACTTTGATGCTGGTCGTGGCTGCCATGTGAGGGCCTTTGCCTCAGGCAAGCTCGAGGAGCTGACTGCTCCGGTGAGTCGGGTGACCGGCAAGAAAGTCCTGAAGGCTGCCCTGAAGACCAAGCCTGCTGCCGGGCAGGTGAAGAAGAAGCCGGCAGGTGCAGAGACAGCAGAAGTGCCCAAGTCCTCAGAGGTGGATGTCCAAGCTGCACAGTTGGCGGAGGCGAAGCAGCAGGAGGAAACCATCTTGCATTTCGTCCGGAAGAGCACTGCCAAGAAGCCCCCGAGGACATATGTGACTGCTTGCTACTGTGACGGGTCCAAGCATAGGCAGAAACTCATCGTAGAATTTCAAGCAGCCAAGTATGCCGATCATGTCGAGAAAGCTGCGAAAGCAGTGAAGCGAATCCAAAAGGATAAGCTCACTTTCAATCGTGCCCGGCAGCTGAAATTCGCATTGGCAGAGGACTGATCGATTTTGACTCGATCTTGTCTCGCCTGGAATAGGGCAGTTTTGGCATCAGGTGCTCGCACAAATCGTCGGCCTTGCATGTTTGGTGTGCAGGAGGGGTTCTCCTAGCTCTTTAGGAGGACCTCTCCTACCTTGAGCTTGAATGGCAGGGCAGGTCAGCTGCATGCATGCTTCCTGTTGCAAATACCTATGCTCCATGCAGGAAGGTTTGGGCTCAAAAATTAGAAGGTCAGACTTGTCCCTGGAACCTATATAGCTTGGCTCCCCGGCATGGATCTGGGGGCGATGACGGATGCCCAAGTTCGCGAGTGGCTTCGAAGCTTGCCGAACTACCAGGTGCTTCGTTTGCACGAGCTGGTCATGGAACAGATGCCTCGTCCTGCTGCACCAGCTCCAAAAGGACCATGCTCGCACTGCCAATCGAGGCTGTGTACTCGGAGGACTGCATGCGAAGATCATGTCGGCAGATGCTCCTGCCACGTGTGCTACAAGGACTGGAAGCACAGCCGTCCCAAAGGTGGCAAGGGTGGGCATGGAGCCTCAGGCTCAAGTTTCCCACTTCCTGCTGCAGGCCATTAAGAGCCTGCACGTTTCGCGAGTGGCTTCGAAGCTTAAAAGAAGAACACACACCCTCTGATTTGCCGATGAAATACTTTTAGGTAGATACGAAATTTCAGATTTGTTTTCCGTTTGCTTAACATGTTTTCATTTAAGAGGTTCTGTGGCAGATCTGCTTGCTGGAGTGACTCATGCATGAGAGTGTGCAGTGCATGCAGAGTAGGAGGAGATGCTGTGAGGTGCAGTGCAGGTGAGACTTGTTGTTTGAGCTTCGTTGCCTGCCAGCCAGCTTCTCGGCCCAAGCTAAAGCCTTCAGTGCAGCCCCAGACCTCTGTCTGCCACAAGCAGGGATGTCTTGGCATCATCAGTCAGGTTCTGGTTCTGGTGTCGCTTGGCTGCATTAGTTTTGGCTGCATTTTGTGTGCTCAGATTGTTGCCCAGGGTTCTCTGCAGTCCTGTCGCTGAGGGGTGGGGCTCCAGCTGGAAGGATCGTGGCCACGACAAGAAGGGTGAAGGCTCCCAGTGGTGGAAGAAGGACGACGACCCGTGGGACGAGGACCCCAATGACATGTCCGGCATCGATGTGAGAAAGTGCAAGAAATGCAAGCACAACTGGTCCTATGTGCGGGAGGGTGGCTGCCTAAACACGAAGTGCAACATGTCAGCATCCAGATTTCAGGAGGCTCTCCTTCACTCTAGGAGGGTCTCCTTCAAGTTGAGCCTTGCAGTTTTTAGGAGGTTCTCCTGTATAGGAGGGTCTCCTGTATAGGAGGGTCTCCTCGCTAAGGTGAGCTCTACATCTACTCGGCCAACCGAGAGAACCTCTGGGATCCCTACAGCGAGGGCAGTGGAGGCCGGTGGGACCTGAAGGAGTTTGCCAACTACATTGAGCCCACCTTGGCGAAGAAGAAGAAGAAGAACAGGGGCAAGCAGCGAAAGGTGTGGTGGGCCAAGGTCAAGGGGTGGAAGGATGCCGGTGAGCCGGAGTTTCAGCCACCGAGTGATGAAGAGGAAGAAGATCCAGGCCAAGAGGGCCAAGAGCAAGCCGAAGCGGTGCCTTTCCGGCAGAAAGACTTTCAGAGTTTCCTGTGTTGCTTGTGTTTTCTTTGTTCCCGCGTGAAGCCAACGAAAAGGAGGGCTCGAGATGCGAGCACACCGCGATGCAGCCCTGTAGTCGCCTAGTGGGTCAAAGCGACCGCGGCACGCTGTGCGATCGGCAGCGGCAAGTAGCGCTCGAGATGCGGCGTCAGCGAAAAAATGCAAATCAAGCGCGGGCTGCTCACTGGCGCGGGCAGCATGAGATAGCACAATGCTGCCAACCTTGCAGGAAGTCCCCAAACTTGGTTGCTTCATGCCTGCTGGCGTAGGCCAGCGGCCGTGTGGCGAGCTGCTGTGAGAGGTTTCGGTGGAGGATTGCAGCGCGCGGACCAAACGAGCGGCTTCAAGTGGGCAAGCAGTCCGCCCAGGAGACCCACAAAGCATCCCAACCCAACGAGGTCAGCTACCTAAATTCAGAGGAGTGCCAGTGAAGCAAGCGACTGGGGGCGCTCGCAAGGGCCCGACGATGCAAAGTTGGCTCCGTGACTGAGGTTTGGAAACGATATGCACAACAACGCTGTCAAGGGTGATGACCCCCTCGTACTTCCTCGATGCAGCTGGGTGAACTCCTGGCCAGTGTGCGTGACGTGCTGAGGCAAGGCCGCGGGCAGCTGAATCCCAGCGCCACCAGTCTTCCCCGAGCGCTTCTGTACCTGGATGCCGGCGTTTTTATGCGCGCATCGCCGAGCCAGGATGCTGCATCCACAACGTGCAACTTTCCCTCAGAGAAGTGCAACCTTGCCTGCGGGTCCTGCGACCGTGCGAAGAAATCGAATGGTGTCCATGGCATTGTCATCCGAAATGTTCATGAATTTTCACTGTCATTGGAGCTGCAACAGTAACGCCATCAAACACGCACTTCGACTTTGTCAAAGCGTTTGAATCGTGCTGTAAAAGCGTGCTAGCCTGCATGCTTTTATTCTGGCACAAAGCTGCTCCTGCAACCTCAGCCTAATGAATTTGCCGATGACTTGGAAGCTTTGCTTGAGGGCAACCCACCTGAGCCTAGCAGATCTTTGACCTTGGACGAAATGCCTTGGAGAATGGGCGAGCTTCCACGCGCCATTCATTGCTTGAACGTGGATAAAGCTCCTGATGACGTTGGTTTGGTTATTGAATTACTGAAGAAGGCTCCTGATGAAATCCTTTCGATGGTTTTGGATTCATTCAATAAATTTTTACTGCGAAGTAACGTGCCAGTTAAATGTTTTCACCACGTTGGCAAACGGCGTGAGGACCACACGGGATTTTAAACCAATCGCATATGTTCGACTGATGTACGAAGTCTTTGCCCGCACGATTCTTTTTCGCATCGAGGACACCTGGACGCATCGCAACTGCAGGAACAACACGGTTTCAGAGCGGGACGCCGTATTAAAGAACATCTCCTTGCGGCAAAAGTTTTGTTGGATAAACAACTGCAGCGAATCTGCCTCTTGGATTGCGAGCGTTGATTTTCCAAGGCATTTGACAGTGTTGAGTGGTCTGCACTTCGGACAACATGTTTTTGGGGCGATGGGGTTCAAAGATGGTTCAAGGGCTCTCTCACTCGTAAACTCAATAGTAATTCAAGAAGAAATGAACGGGAAAAAAAGGCCGTTGATGCACCAACCTGCACCGTCGCCAACTTGCACCCCATCGTCGCCCCAAAGCAAGGCTGGTTCAAAATCTGTGGGGGCGTCCGCCAAGGCTGTGTTTTGAGCCCTCGACTGTTCTTCGCTGTTCTTCCAGCCGTGCTCAGTGCTCGGAGGCAATCTGTCAAGTCTCTAGGTCTTGATTGTGGTGATGGCGTACCACCAGCACTGGACCTCAGACTTGCTGACGACCTGTTGCTGTTCGCGAAATCAGCGCAAAGTTGCTGCGCAGATGCTGGATGAGTTCCTCCGCGACAAAAACCCAGATAGTGACCACCGAAGCTGAAGCGAACCACAACCGGCAACACCGTCGGCATTTTACCGCCCAGTGACGCACAGACGTGGTTGAGCTGTTGCGTGTCTAGCCGTGGTTCAAAAGCAACATCTGCTGGATTCCTACGCAGACTGCGTCGGAAGCAGCCTTTGCAAACAAGGACGTGCTTGCGACTACCCCTGTGGCATGATTTGAAGCTGGCCACAGGGCTATCTTCCAAGCAGACTTCGCCATCATGATGTTGTTTGCACAAAATTTTACGGCGTGTTTTTGGTCCTCCTTCCGACGTCCACCGTAGCACACCAGCGGAACACGAAAGCGTTGCGTTGTTGGGAAGCCTTGCGACGTCCTACTGCATGTGGACAACGTTGTTCGCATTCCTCTTGGAATTTTGCGAGACTGCCTGATGCAAGATGGGTTAGACGTGCTTTGAAGTGGCAGCCGGTGGGGCGAGCCCTGGTAGAAGCTGTAGCATGTGGACGACTTGCCTGGAGAACCTTTGCTCGTCTCCAGCGCTGGGACAAGTGGGAAACAGCAACTACGAACAACAACATGGAATGCATCGCACGATGATGATCTGCAAGCTTGTGATGGGGCAGCAATCCGCACAAAAGATGCTTATAGACCGTTTCTCCTGTACCCTAAAGAGGGCACTTTCGGGCGATCAGGACTCGACTCCATGGCAAACAGCACGGCCGTCCCAGATACGGAGACCGTCGCTTGCGAGGTTGAAGTCGCGCTCACATGTTTCAACATGGACGTTTGTGTGTTGACGTGTAAATTCGTTGCCAGATCTTGCCTAGGCTCGAGAGTTCACTTGGCCTCTTGGCGGCTTAAAGTTCGCTTGTTTATCGCGAACACAAGCAAAACACAAACCATGCGCATGTCCAAGTGGAACGCCACGATTCTTTGCTACGAAGTGAGTAGGCTCGGAACCCGGGATTTTTGTGCATCCGGGCAGACGCACGAGCCATGGCCCGCTCGAGGGCATGGTGCAAATGCGCGTCGAAAGAGCATTTTCTTGCGGATGCGGCAGGCAAGCGGATTTGCGGGCTTGGTCTGGCAGGCGCAACTCAGCGCTGACCCCGCTCAAAAGAAAACGTTGTGGCTTGTTGCCTGCAGCTTTGCAAGCTCCAGCGTCGGCACGCCCACGAAATATCACCTGAGAAATCCATGGCCCTCGGCTGTGCAATGAATCTGGACGTACACGAAAATCGCATCCGTTCGCAAGGTGGCAAGTCGTCAACAGCCTCGCCACCAGCAACTTCCAGATCAACACAACGTCATCATCAGCAACGTTCTCGACGAGCTCTACCTACGGCAACGGCTGCCGCTATCACACTGACCCTCACATCCCTCACACCTCGTTGACGATCACAGTTACACAAAATTGGCAAGGTGGACAGCTCTTGATTCAGGCTGGACCAATCTGGCAAAGACATGGGTCTGAACGGTTTTTCGAACATCTGGCAAGAACATCCGGCAATAGGTTGTCTATGGTTGTTTTTTTTTTTTGCAGAAGATGAAAGATCCTCGCAACGAATGGGCCGCCTTGAGATCCCAGGTATGGTGACATCCTGTGCACTGTTGGTGCTGCTCAATACGGACAGGGTGAAGCTCTGCCAAAGACACAGCCTCCTCACCAAACACCCTCAGGTTTGAAGTGTTCCGTACACAGTCTTAAGCTTTCAGAAGTAGTCATGCGAGTGTTATATACATGTACATAGGAAACATAGCATTTGTAACCATAGCAGCATGAATGCGCTGGAGTTGTACGGCGGACGGAGGGTTGCCTGAAGGAGCTTTAGGGTGTGTTCCGGGAGACTTCCCGCAAGGCCCGACATGGCTTTTCTTTTTCCTTCGAGAAGCCAAATTTGCGTGAGAAACGTAATATACTCAAATCCTATCAGCATCATCGTCTTTTTGATTGCTACCCACATCGCTAAACATGGTGTTATCATTGTAATCATCATCAATGTTTGTCAACTCCATATTCCTATCCCAACTTTTGCTCTTTGTCTTCTTGCAACGATAACACCAAGTATAATTAATAATCATCGCAAGATTGTACAAGCATTTCTGATTTCGATTGTTCTTTTGCCTTTATTCTCGTGATGACAACGACTATCATCATGAGAAGAATCGTGAAATCTTCTGTTGCCCCGAACCGCTCAGACCCGTAAGCGCCTTGGGGTTTGTGACTAAAGCACTTGGCACCAAAAAAACAAGAGGCGCAAACGGACTCGAGCCAGGTGACAGGTGTGAACAATCGAGGACACGGTCGATACCGGAGCCCATTCCTGATTCTAATGATTGCCGCAGCCGTCTATGTCACCCAAGACCCTAATGAAGAAGGTGAGCATGGCCGAGGCTGGGGGAATCCCGGATTGAAGGTTTTTTTGCTATGGCTGTGCACGCTGGTCTGCACGCATTGGCGCCGACTCTGCAAAAGAAGAGCTTCCGCAGCCTACGCGCTATCGTGGCATATTGGACGTGTGGTCCTAGCGTTCCTTCTGGAACGGCTTGATCGCAGACATCGTTCTCATAACGTTTGACCACTTCAATCCAATAAGGAAACTGCATTCCCCTTCTACGTCCTGCTACCTGATACGATCCTTGTAAGCTGAAGTAAAGATCACAGAACGCGGTGGGAAGCTGGGTTCGGCGGCATACTGACACGGCGTGCAGGGGCTTACGCTCAGCCTGAATAAGAACTCTGGGGGGAAGGTGTGGTCGCACCAGACTGTGTTATTGGAACCAAGGAATAGAAGAAGGCCTCTTTGCCAAATGACTTTCCATAGAAATTTGGACGACATGGCGCTATTCTTTTTAGTTGCGGCGTGGAGCATCGGATCTCTACAGACCTTTCTCTGATGATGCCGTCCAATCCGGTTCAATTCTTGATGAGACCTCCGATGAATCAAGTGAAGAGTCTGCAAAAGGATGAGGCAAGTCAATGGTGGCTGATCGACTCAGGAGCGTCGGTGACTGTGATTGCGAAAAGATACTATATAGAGGAGTTCCATATCTTGGAACAAGGCTACAGACATAGCGGGAGAGTGCTTCGCGCCCCGAAAATCCAAGTGCTGCTGAGTACCTCTCATGAGGTCCCAAAAATTGTGCCACAGAACAGAAATCTTACAGTTGCAGAATCCATCAGTTGCAAAATCCAGAAA